GGGGTTCTGTAGTCCAGAAGGCAGGGCACAAATGGGAAGCTGGGAGCTCACTGGCCGCTCACATTGGCTGTTCTAAAGTCGCCCTGCAACAGAATAAAATGTGACCCTGAGAAAATCTGTCTCCTCTCCAGTGATAAATCCCTCTTCAGATCAGATGAGAAAAGGTGAATTCTTTGTTGTGAACCCTTCCATGGTCCTCTCCTCTCTTCTAGGTGCTCCGACCGGCCGTCACCTTACCGAGGACTGCAGCCACTGGCAGCTCCACGCTCACTACTACCCGCCGCTTCTGCGCTCCGCCTCTGTGCGCAAATTCATGGTGGGGTATGAGATGCTGGCTCAAGCTCAGAGGGACCTGACAGCAGAGCAGGTGAGCTGACACTCTAATCCAGGGGGAAGCAAACCTCCGGCCCTCCAGCTGCGGTGGGACTACAAATCCCATGAGGCATTGCAAGATTCTCACAGACATGACTCCCGAAGAGAGATGCATCATGGGTTTTGTAGTTTCACCCACAGCCGGAGGGCCGGAGGTGCTCTAATCCAAGATTTTTTAATTGTTTTTAACATGGAGGAACCTCTGAAATACATTTCAGTTCTCCGGGAACCCCTGGTGATAATTACTATATCTACAGCTCCGGGTTCGTTAGAGAGAACAGTCAGTTTCCTCACATGGTGGTGAGTGAGGAAATGCCCCCTGACAATGAGGGTCAGAAGAGAAGTGACTTCATAAGTGGTCAGTGAAATGCTCCCTTCCATTGGTTGGCAGTGGAGAAGGGCCTTCTTATGTAGGTGTATGGGTGGTCAATAGAGAGGGGTGTTCTTACATAGGTCAGCGGAGAAGGGACTTCTTACATAGGTCAGTGGAGAAGGGACTGCTTATATAGGAGGTCAGTGGAGAAGGGACCTCTTACATAGGAGGTCAGCGGAGAAGGGACTTCTTACATAGGTCAGTGGAGAAGGGACTTCTTACATAGGAGGTCAGTGGAGAAGGGACTGCTTATATAGGAGGTCAGTGGAGAAGGGACTTCTTACATAGGTCAGCGGAGAAGGGACTACTTACATAGGAGGTCAGTGGAGAAGGGACTTCTTACATAGGTCAGTGGAGAAGGGACTTCTTACATAGGAGGTCAGTGGAGAAGGGA